AATAGTAGCATTGAAATGTGTCAGGGCCATGTTTTTGGATCAGCGAAAGAGTTGTATACCTTACTTTAGGAAACTGAAGATATTAACCCTACCATCGATGTATATTTACTAGGCCTGTGTTTATGTCAAACAAAATCTAAGTAACTTTAATATAGTCAAAACTAGATATCTTAGAAATACAAGGAATAAAATAGAAATACGGTCCAAACAACGCCCTAACTTGGAATTTTACAGAAGAACGATGTTTAATAAACACCCAAATTGTTTAATAAATTACCTGATGCTGTTCAAGAATTAATTGTAGACAACTTAAAATGAAATTACATGATTTGTTAGTTACTCTACTATTACAATATTGATGATTTTTTACCCGATAACATAAAATGTAAAATTTAACTCTTTTATGTTATATTTTTTACTTCCTATTTTCCGGTTAAATTACAATTATTGTTATTTGTTTTTGCTATTGTATTAATTTAACTTTCATGAAAGCTACATCACAAATGAAAAAATAATGGTGTAATGGTTTGCATGCCAAGTTTATAGTTAAATGTATGATCTAATATAATATACTATAAGAACTGTAATGTTAACTACATTTTTAGCGAATAAATGTTAAAAAATCTTGTATTCTTGTATTCACCGACGTAGAACTACTTTTCATATGTTAGTAAAAGTAGTTTTATGTAATAAGTAATAAATATTAGGAAATGAAGATATTTTTCCGGATTTAAATCGCGTATATTTGATTTTTCAAACAAACGGACATTTCGGGCCCTTTACAGGTCCCCATGGCCTGAAACGTGGGTTTGTTTGAAAAAACAAATATGCGCGATTTAAATCCGGAAAAATAGTTTCATTTCCTATGTGTAACAATCGCGAAAATCTAAGAACTTAATATATATTAATCAAGTACCTCCAATAGGAATCGGAATTATTGATATATTTTTACGTAATAGGTACATGACTGCATCCAACACTATGTTAATACAACGATAGGCGTATCTATTTTTGTTAACACGTTCGAACCTACCTTCAATTCGTTCGCGTGACCATAGCATGATAAATAAAGCTGTTACGTAAAAAGTACCTTCTTCCATTGTCAGTGCGCATAGTTGCGTGACGGTAGTAGTAAAAACGATACTGAACCGTGGACCAAAAGGGCCTTGCGAGACATCTATTGCGTTTTTATCAACGCTTTTTTACCGAAGGTCAGTGTGGCATTCGCGCGGATTTATTGTCGCATAAAAAATGCTATTAAAATCACAGCAGCATGGAATAATAACGCGAAAAAATTATAGTTATTATGTTACAAATACACATAAGGCAAGACATTTCTAACCAGTGTTGCCAAAATTGTTCATTTCAACAATTTAAAATAAATGGATATGTTGTAATAATGATTTTATTGAATATCATGATGCCTTACTACCATTATACCCATTGATTTTTTTGTGATATTACTCCACTAGTTTGTTATAATTATTAATGTAAACGTCGAACACAAAGGGCCACTGCTCTACCAATTGATCTAGAGATCAAGTCAAAAGCAAATATGGATTGGCACTCAGGGTTTAACTTGACGCTTTGATAACGCCAGGTTTAAGTCGGGTTAAAACCCATTACGCCCCAAAACCGATTACGAATTTCTCCATGTGGTTGTAACAGATCTTTTGTATTGGGTTTTTTTCGCCGTAAGCGATACCTGGGAGGACGGGATGATGGTTCTGCATTACATTCTTCCTTCAGTCGTGGTTGACTATATACTTTTTGCATTTCCATATTTTTGCCATCACTAGACCGCAATACTTGGACCTATATTTAAGACTAATGTACTCAAAATCTCAAATGTATACTGTAGTATTGTTAAAAAACATTCCTTGTACATTTACATAATTTTGTCATTACGATGTCTATATATTACTCATACTCTATTTGTGTTGCGCACATAATACAAAAGAAGTTCTCACGTGTGGCATACATCATCTTTGCCATCAGGTAGTATGACACCTAATAGGTATATTTACCTGTACGTTTTTTACGTGTTGTAAAAAATAAATGTTGTTTATAAAACACGCAGCACGTGACATTGTTGAAAATATTCGTAACTAATCCAATAGTGCCCCGCTAAAAGAAACAATATGCCTAGGTCATCATTTTAAAATACGAATGAAAGAGAGAATGAATGAAATATTCTTTATTGCATATATAACATTACAGTGGCCACACAAGACAATAATGTAATTATTGCTATGTGGCAATTTCTTTCAGGCAATATTATTCTAGAAATTCCCAAAGGATACTTTCATAAACATACCAAACCGAGTAGGTTAACAATGAGTTAATTTTTAATTTAATTTTTATATGATAATAACAGCAAATTGATGATTCACCAATTTCGGCATAGGATCTATGAATCAATGCAATTATATAGTGACCCTGAGAGGTCTACGAGATATTACGAGAATGGTTCTAGCCATTAATACGAATTAAAACAATGTCAGCTAAGTATAATTAAATGGTTCACAAACTTGTTCTGACGTCTCCTTTTATTTTGAATATCGATCTCAAGAAGTCATTTAAGTATTAACGACTGCAATAGTCTGTCGAAATGGATAGGAATCAACTTCATTTTTTTTTTAAATAGCTACATCTCTAAGGATCGTATTCCAGAACTCTACTCAATACTTGCAGTGAGCACTGAAAATCATACTCAAGTCCTTGCCATTAGGGTTGTATTTCCAGTGCTTGAAATCATACTCAAGTCTGTTCAAATCCTGACTTGCGCATTGAGTAGAGTTCTGGAATACGACCCTCAGTATATATTTACATTAAACTAAACAATATTTCTCATAGATTTGTCACACATGGCGCTACGGCAAACCAAAAACAAGAATCTGCAACAAGTATATAAAAAAATTCGTAAGGTCTGCTGGTTCGTTTCGCAGCTCAGTTGGAAGAGCGTCAGTCACGGTATGGCGAGATCGCTGGTTCGAAAGAATTTTTCTGTGTTCGGTCCTTGTAATTATGACAAACTAGTGCAGTAATTTAACAAACATAATTGAAAATCATGGTAGTAAAACATCGTGTTATTCAATAAACTTAATTTTACAATATTCCCTAACTTAATATGACAGTTGCTTCGGCTGTATCAAGCACAAGTCCGGTTGTGTATGGAGTACTGCTGCCACTTTTGGGATGGCTCTGCTACATACCAACTGGCCACCTTGGATTCAATTGACAAGCGTGTCAAGAGGCTTATAGGTGACTCGGAATTAGTAGAGGCGAAGCTGCAGTGCCTTGAACACCGCCGTGAAGTTGCATGCTTATCGGTTTTTAACAGGACATATCACACGAATTACACGATTAAATTCCACCTTCCCCTTTTCATCATCAGGCGACGTAAGCTTGGACTCCACTCCTATGTTGTGGATATCCAAAGATCCTTGAAGCGTTTCGCTTCCAGATTTATATAGCGAACGGCTATGGGGTGGAATTCCCTGCCTACAAACTTGTTTCCTGAATGTGATAACTTGAACATTTTCAAGGCGAGATTTAATAGGCATTATTTAGGTGTGCATGCTCCATCGTCCACCTCATCGTCACTTTCAATCAGGTAAGATGGAGGTCAAATGCGCACTAACATTTGAATAAAAAAGAAACTTGCTCCCTTCACCTCCCGCCATCCTTGTTATAAACAACGCATAATTGCATTTTGGTAACTTTCGAGATATTGGAACTCAAAGTTTTTTTTCGAAAATGTCAATTAGTTTCACTGTCAAGCAAAATTGGTTTCGCTTAACAATGAGACTGAAACTAAATAAGGTATAAAAAACCGCTTATAGAAGGTGGTAGTAGATCTCGCTAACTATCGCTAAAAATTTCGATTACGTTGCTGAAATAAGGAAGAAAAAAAAACAAAGTTTAATAATTATCTTTGTTCATTAATTTGACTTTTTATATGTCACCATTTAATAAATCGCATTCAGAAGCAGCCAACAGGTATAGCGATTGCGTTAGAAACCTCGTGTGCTATTAAATTACATTCACTCTGCCTAACTGCCGAGGTCAACAAATACTTACGGGGCCATAGAATCGAATAGATATTATAAAGCAATTTGTACGCAGATACTTGATTGTTTTGCAATATGTCAGTGAAATTAATATTGAATTTGTAGGTACCTAATTAGAACAGAATATGAATCAATTATTTATTACAAACTATGAACTACCATATTGATACGGTATGGACCAATAATACACTGCAACTTTAAGACCAGCTTTTTGAGAAGAAGCTACCAAAAGAATTTTTGTCATTTCTGGGGTTAATAACATAAAAATATTTAATCTTTGTATATCAGATATTACAGTTCTAGTCGGCCAATATAATTAGTAGCAGTAGCTCCTTGTGAAAGAGTTCGTCCAGAGACGTACTGGCACCTTACCTTTTTCTACCGCCAATCAGTAATGTGAGCTTTGCAGCGTTTCTGTTTTGAAGGGAAGGGTGCTGGGGAAACTACAGACACATGGGATTTGTCAACTAATATCGCATCTTTGCGATGTAGTGACGCTACAACTTTTATGGACAGGCGTTTCGTTTACCACTAGGCGCACGACTTGTTCGTCCCGTCATTTGGTATCATACAAAACAATCTATTTCTATCGAAAAACGAATATTTTACCCATGATAACAGCCTAAAGATACTTATTGTAATGAACTTACAAAACACTGTACTGGGACTTATAGCATTTTGATATGATAGTGAAGCGTATAATTCTGTTTTGGTTTCAGTCTTTATATTTGAAAACAAAGATTACTTAATAATGTAAATAAAATTAAATAGGTTCTTTACTTACAACTACTATTTATTTCCTAAATCAGTATGCAGGCCTACAGTGATTTGCATAATTCATAATGAATTCCTTTTGGGCAAGTCTATTTGAGGTAAAAAATGGCTACATATATATTTTGCCATAATTTTCCTAATTTTCGGTTTCAGGTGAATCAGTACGATGCTGGACTTGTTCATCGGACCTCAACCCGCTCTGCAATGATCCCTTCCTGGTCGGCCGATCTGACAACTCCTACCTCTTCAGACTGGAGAACTGCGACGCCAGCACTGGTGCTACTTACCCTTACCTCACGTCATCTAAGTCTGTTTGCAAGAAGCAGAAAAAATACGGTAAGACCATGATTTTTCCTAGAATCTGTAATTATGACCTTAAAATTACTGGCACATGGGATTTGTAAACTTACGTCTCAGGGTGACTGGGCCGTGGCATCACCCCTCAGATCTTTGCGATTTGAAGTTCTGAGTGGCAGTGCAACTGTTAAGGACAGGCGTGTCGCTTACCAATAGGCACACGACTTGTTCCTCCCCTCACTTAATTACAAAAAAATTAATAGCGAGCGGGCCTGTGTCCTACAATGGGACTAATATATCTATAGGTCAACTACATACTATTATCGTACCACACCAATTGCCTGGTCTTAAACTAGGAAATTCCCTGTACACTTCCCAGAACACCCAGACCAGAACCAATTTAAAGTTAATTTCCCAAATTGTCCTACCGGGTATCAAACCCAGGATGTCCTCATTCAGTGCCCACTGCACCGTGCAAACCGTTGGGCCACAGAGATCGTAATATTTAATTAAATGTATACTTTTAATACCACTCTTATGGTATACTTTTCTTTATAATAAGTTTCAATAAGTTTTAATGTAAAAAAAATATATTTATTTGTAGAACGTTTCAGTCTCTACATTTTGTAATATTTTTCACACTAAATGAGCGTTTTACTATCATACAGTTTACAAGATGTGTTTTGCCAAACATTTCAAACTAAACCTTACGAATAGAAAATGACGCAGTATCAATGTCAATACCAAATATGTTAAAAATCTACAACTACGTCCACACACGTCGATAAAGACCGTTTTCACCTATTGCCCAGCGTAATACCCTAGTTAAACCGTTCTATCGTTCTCAATTCGATAACGGCTTTTCTGTTATTGCTGGCAACAGGTTTTCTTATCTGGACCGATCTGCAAGCCGGGCACGTACGAGTATTGGAAACATAACCTCTAAATAGAAAGATAGTGCCGTCTGCGATGAGGATTGCTCATTCAGAAACATATTTAGTTGTGTAGATGTTAATCTGTTTAACCTACGTGTTATCTTCACCTTTCGACTGTTTGTCCCATAAAACTTTCACAGTTTACTGAAGAGAACACATTATTTTTATTTATTTTTTTAATACATAATTTGTGCTCATTTATATAAATGTAGAAGCGAAGCGCTTCGTGCGAATCCTTGCAACATCCACAACATTTTTTTCATTAGTGCGATTACAGTTTTAGTATAAATTTTCAATACAGAAATGTCTTACAGCAAAAGTATCGTTTGTCCGAAAACCTATTATTAGAATAATTATTACGCATATGTATTAGGCAGAAGTTTGTTAGGTCGAATGACGTTTGTTATACTGTCTGTTTACCGTATAATTTAGATTGCTGAAAATTTGATTCGACAAAATTATTATTCTTCGATAAAATTGTACGATTTTACTATTTTACCGTACAGCTCCAAAATTCTAGACCGTACTTTGCTGGTGCACTGCAAATCCCACTTACGTAATTTTCGCCAAACTATTATGTTTTTGCTGTAGCTGGTTCGACTCGCTCCTGTGGGTTAGTATCTATATGAAAAAGTCGCACGAGCCAAGCGAGCGAAGCGAGCTTCTACAACTTTTGTACTACCTATAACACATGTAACATAAGTATAAAAATGCTCTAGAAACTATTGATAAATAAAAAAAAACAAAATAAAACAGGTAAAGTCATTATGTTAATTGACATGCACGCAAATGACATGGAAATTAAGTATAATTTATATGTCGTTGAAGAATATAGAATAGACTTGCGGTTTCGGCCATCAAGCTAACTGTAAAACAAAAGACAGTCAACGTTGTGGCATTCAGTATTTCCGGCTCAGTGTTGCCATTAAAACCACTATTTTTTTTATAATACTAAGTGACGGGACGAACAAGTCGTGTGCCTGGAGGTAAGCGACACGCCTGTAAATATTTTAAAAAGTGGACAAAGAACGTATCAACAGTAAGTCGACCACAGACCAATAGTCGATGATATATGATATCTATTATGGGAACCACGACTCGATAGCACAAAGTACGTTTAACACCCGAAACAATTCTTACACAAAATAAAAGAGTATTCTTACATGAGATGATTCCCCTACATGTCACGTATATCTAAAACAAAATTTGTTGGTATATGGTATACTATAATAATAGGGTACAAATTTATTAAAACAATCGCACGTCATGTTAACTACTACGAAAACATTTGAATTGCTTTTTACCAAAAACGATTTGAGCATAGTTCCCATGAGATTGAATAAAAAACCATCCGAGAACATACAAAGCAAAAAAGACCTTAGTATTTCTTTCTCACCGCCCCACAACGCTAGTCACATTTAGATTCAATGATCACCTAAATGATAATAGGCCTTAAGGGAAAACATCCAAACTGTACAGTACGGACCTTACCAGATTCCCTTGTATTATCATTAAGGTCTAAAACGTGATGATCTTCTTCATATTGGCCATATTATCTCGACATCCTGCTCTGTCATGTAAGTACTTCAATGTCACACAATTTCAAATTGCCTTCACCTTGTACGGAAGACGTTCGTCTATTGTTCTCGCTAAACGGCTCTAATTAGTGACGACAAGCACTTAACTACAGATTCAGAACCCCTGGGAAAACAAATGGCAAGGTCATTTATTATTGCACATACAGAACTGCCCACGTACATCAGTTATGGGTATGTTACTTAAAAATTTAGCCAGTGGGGCTCCGTGTGAAAGGAAAGTACTGCCACTTTACCTATTTCTGCCGCCAAGCAGTAATGTGAGTGAACATTACTGCCCAAGCAGTAATGTGAGTGAACATTACTGCGTTTCAGTTTTGAAGGATGCTGGTGAAATTACACACCCATGGGACTTTTCTACTCATGCTAATGCCCCTCAAAACTTTGCGATTTAAACACTGGGACTGTTATGGACAGGCGTGTCGCTTACCACCAGACTTTGTATCATAAAAAAATATGTTTATTAATAGGAAATGAAACTATTTTTCCGGATTTAAATCGCGTATATTTGTTTTTTCAAACAAACCGACGTTTCGGGCCCTTTACAGGTCCCATGGTCTCGGTTCACTGAGGTGGTTGACAAGGAAAACATTCCAAAACATTTGTAAAATTAAAAAGAAGGTATTTAATTAATAACTATTGTAACTATAGTGAAAAAATAGGGTGGTTTGCATCAATATTAGACATAACTGGTTGAAGACTGTACCACCTCAGTGACAACCTAAGAACTCGATATCTTTATTAAGTTCTTCGACAGCTATGACAAAATACATAAAAATATTGCACTTTATCTTACAAAGTTTCTATCAAAATCTCTTAACTAGGAAGACCTTTGAAATACACCTCTTCATATTATACATATTTCATCAGTATCGTAGCATAAGTATAGAGCTAATCATATTTTGCAGATGCTTGTTCGTCCCACACCCTTTTCATATTGACCTAGAGAATGTTTTGCATAATGGATGCAAAGAGCATATCTAACACTGGGACTATTAAAACAATATTCCTATCCTATCCAATCCCGTATCGTATGATAATGTTCAACTTGAAGTACACGTCCACTCCAATCCACTTTCCCATATTTTTCCCGGTAGGTAATGTCTGAGTAATGAAATCAAAATAGAAAAGCTGTGGGAACCGCCACTCAATCAGACAAATTCGGTCTCTATGACCTCTGAGTTTTTCAAAATTTATTTACGAAATTCAATTTGCAATATACCATGACGACTTTTCGGTGACGGAAACCGTCGTGTTTAAACCTGCATGTCGCAGAAGGTTCACTCACAGCCCTCGGAAAACGCGTGAAGTCCTCCACCCGCATTGAGCCGGCGTGGTGGAGTATCTCTATCTTAATGATTATGATGATGATGATGATAAATTAAATCAACGATCGTAATCATGTGACGTCACTGCCGTTATTTGAAAAGTGTAGACCCAACGAAACACTTATTGTCATTTGTTTCTATTTACAGTAAACGGTCTTCTCGTTGTAACAAGAGGATGCACCTGGAAAAGACAAGATGACTACTATACCAACTGCCCAGGCTCCACAAATGGCCCCAACGAAGTCACAACATACTGTGAAACCTGTGAATTCGACGGCTGCAACGGAGCTTCCGCCATTGGCAAGACTCTCGCGTTATTAGTCGTGCCTTTAGGTCTGCTTCTCTTTAAGTGAATCTAAATGTACCTAGAGTAACATACGAGCAATTTATTGTTCTAAGATATAAATCTGCAAGTGTTCTGTACAAGACAATGTGAAATCTGTTTCGTGTCCTTCCATTTTCCGTTTCTAAAAATCTATTAAGAAGATTGATTTTTTTAAGGAATGCTTAAGTACTGTTTATAAAATCAGCTACGTGTAGGTAGGGAAATATGATATTGAATATTTCCTAGATTACACGATCGATGAATGATATGTCACGATAGATGTGAAACTAAATTATACAGCTAATGCAAACCAATATTAACTTAGTTGCACACAATAGTCAATGAAAGAAATTCGTTATTAAGTTGGTCGTTGCAAATGTTACTTAACTACTACCTAAGTATCTAGTTACCCAATAAGAAATCACAGAATCGACACACAGAACAGAAACAGATTTAACGAACATCTACCTAAAGATAAGTCAATCAGTACCAAAAACCATTAAACATATTCGATGCTTCGATAGTTCTCAAGGTGGGAGATTTAACAACCTTTTTTGTTTACATTAGGAATGTTACTTTGATCGTTATAACATATATGTATATTTTCACCTCACTAGCTCATAAAAGCTTTCTTTCTCATTAGAAATCTGAGCGCAAAAGCGTTTTTTCCACGCTAGCGTGGATTTTTTTAAATTCGAACTTGATGATATACTGTGGTGTATCTAACTTTTTCTTTCGATGAAAAAAAAACATAATGACACGTTCAAGTATGCGTTTTGTCGTACATTATTTAAATAATATAAGAAAAATTTACCAAGTTTTGCCTTTTCCTTTACGGAAAGAATTGAGAAAACAACAACATTATGTATTAGAAATCCGTTGGTACATTTTAATGTTATTATTGTTGACATTAAATTGACAACGATAACTAATTTTGTTTATTAAAACTGATTTGTTGTAGTTCAACTGTTTTTCTTTCATCTACCATTTTCCTCGCTATAATGTGGTCTGTGAGTGAGGTGAAAAGTTGTGTGTTTCGCTCGGCAGCAAAGTTGGTTTGCGTCTCGTGACTTGAAACCTTCGCTACGCTCAGAATTCTATTTTCCAAACCACTCGCTTCGCTCGCGGCACACCCCGGACACTCCATACAACAGTCGAAAATTATTTACCTACTACTACATACAGCAAGGCGCTATCTGCAACCGCGCAAATATGTGCGCGAAGTGGTAGGGTTACTCATAACTTTCTCGCACTATTACGTTACGTGGTCAGAGGGACAATATATTTAAAATTCTGACGCGAATCTGTTATCTATGATTCTATTCATAGAATCCTAATAATTATACCTGTCTATTAGTTATTTATATCGATATATTATTATATTTTTCGTTAAGTCCCTAACTAGAGTAATATTGAAGATTTTGTTCAAAAATATTATAACATTATTATATTATATATACAACAGTACATGTCCGAAATATAACATTTTAAGTACTTAAAAGTACATATTTCGGACATGTACTTTTATGTAAGGTAACCAAGGTATTTGAAATTGCTTGTCCAAGTTTAGTTAATAATTAGATTTTGTCACTACCTACGTAGTATTTATCGGCAATACGAATAGAAAATTCGCGAAGTCATGGCGTCTCATTAAATTGATATATTAAATATGTTTTTTATACATACATATATTACTATGCAGTAAATAAATGAAGAAAACAATAACTGAATGAGTCTCAGACATAACTGTTTTTACTCACTTCGTTTCATCTTTCGGAAAATGATGATAAACAACCGTACACATCACAATTCACGACCATTATAAATAGTAACGTAAAATGATGTTTTATATTAACGTACAAGTTTCGTAATGAATAAATGAAAACTATATTCAAATATCAAAGCCGTCTTCGCACGAAAACGACTCGCCGGCAGCTTTGTTGTCGTTCAGTCAATGTGACCGGCAATGTGCGGGGCGTAGTGCGGTATCTAAAACTAGGGAGGGGCGGAGAGTGTCCGTTCTCTATTCTTTATTCTCTGCTCGCGGTTCAATCTTCAGTTCCTTAGCTTACTTAGGTTTCAATACAAGCACTCGCGTCAAACAACAACTTTGCAGCCTTGCATAACAAATAACTATTGTTTTAATGGAAATGGGACCATGTTTTCACCCAGTTGCATAATACCCACCGATCAAAAGTTTTACAGGTTTCTGTACAGAGTACAAATTATAAAGCGTCAATAAAAATTTGCTTAAACTTGTAAAATATGTTGTTGTTAGTTTTTTCTGTCAGACAAGTTGTAATTTATTTAGTTTGTAAATTATTTACTTTAACCTCAAAGCTGTATGAAATTTTATGCTTATTTAAGTACTTCTAAAACATGATTCGTAAAAAAAGTGCACCATATAAAAAATACTTAAACTACTTAACTTGCTTAGATTTTGTATTACTTTATGCGTATCGAAATGTCAATACATTTATTTTTCATAGATAACTAGGTACGAAGTTTTAGAACGTGTAAAAATGATTAAGTCTTAAAGTAAAAGTCTGTGTTTATTTAATTTTCTCTACGGTACGTAATTTAGCAGAATATAATAACCATATTTCAGTGCCTTGTTAAAATAAAAGGGTCTTATTTTTATCATAATATTCTTTCTAGTTGGGTATTAAGACTCATGCATTTTATACATTGTCGGTTAAAATGTAAATCTCAGTACGAAATAATTGAAGTTGTAGATGTTTGTCAAATGCTAACATTAATTTAATAAAATAATAAAAAACGAAAACGTGTTTTTATTAGTTCGTAGTTTTCAGCCGAAAGTTTAATTTAAAGAACTAATTTCACATGATACCAAATACTGTCGTAACTCAAATATGGTGAAAATGAGAAAACTCGATTTGAAAGTTCAAAAATCCATGACTGGAACCAATAAATCTATATTCTCGTGTAAGAGGATAATTAAATACTATGTTCAGCAGCACATCAAACTATACTCTTTTGTTTGAATATGGCCTCCAGTCTAACGGAACAAGATCCATCAATGTGTAGCTTGATGTGCTGCCGTCTGTACAAATAAAAATAATCCGATTATTTGCAATAAAATTCATTGAGTATTCTTTTTTATTTTCAAATCGTGTCTTCTCCATACCACCATTTTTGAGTTATGACAGTATTTGGTTTTAAGGGCAAACATTCATGTCAACGATATCAAGGGCCAAAACAAGCCTCAACATTCTGGGTCGAGAAATAACTTGTCAACATTGTACCATAACGCATTAAAAAGAAGTTGATGACACCTGATAAAAAAGGGAAAATTTTAAGAGGAATGGAATACACAATAGCAAGATACTTGTAGAGACTGTACAGTCGCACATCACTGCGACGATCAACGTGATCTATTTTGAACACCCACAATTATATCTCGGAAACAAAACAAACACAATAACTTAAAACTGTATGATTTTCTTGTTTTTACCTCCTCTGGCGCGATCATGTTTGCCCAAGAGGAATTTCATATGTTCATCCTTTGTTATAAGAGGCATAGAAGATACCTACTGTAACGTCTCTTCCAGTCATGGCAGAATTTACAGTCTCTGGTCTCACTAAGCTTGACGTTGAACATGTGCTCATTGTTGTTGGGAGAGCCCTAACTAGCATGCGGTGATTATTAAAACTAAAAGCTTTATTTATGATTATGAACAGGTATAAAGATCGAACCAACAAAAAAATTTCGTCGACCCAGTAGCACTTGAACCCACGAAAATGCTACACCGTAGCATTGGACTAACCAGCTGCCACCAGTAAACGGAGTGATCTAGACCTATATTTATATATTTATTAGATTAGACCTATATTTATATAGTCCACGCCTCAAGAGTATTTAAAGACAATCGCACAGTTTAAACTGTGCGATTGTCTTTAAATACTAAAGTTTAAAAACTTTCGTGGTTAGTCACTAAATTGTTATCACAGATTACAGCTATAGCACAACATCTTAGAGAAGAAGACGACACTAACCATTGGATCGAGCTGCATAGTCCCCAAGTAGCGTCTTAGGACGGAACGTCACTAGATACCGCGTTTGGTACGAGAAGTCATCGAGATCACGAACGAAATTTATCTAACTGAGTGATAAAACTTTCATAGATTTCTAATAGATGGTGCTACGACTAAAAAGTCGTTGAAAAACCAAATACAAAGACACGAAAACAAGCACATAGAAAAATTCATGAGGTCCGCTGGTTCGTTCCGTGGCTTAGTTGGTATAGCGTCTGCCACGGTATGCTAGAAGACGTCGGTTCGAATCCGGCCCGATCGAAGGAATTTTTCTGAGTGTTCGATCTTTTTATTTATAATAATTACATTGAGTATGGTTTAAAAAAAAATTGAATAACACGGTATGAAGGAGTTGTCGATTGTGAAAGAGGCTATGCGAATATGTGACGAGTATATGTAGTCAATAGGCAGGGTATAGAAGATAAGTACTGATTCCAAGACTGGATCGACTAAGACTGTAACAATGGGGCATACGATTATTGGTTGTCTGTATAAGTAAACCCATGAACGTGGATGATGTAACCGTTCCGAAATATCGGAAAAATAAGATACTCATACTGTCGTGAAAGACGTGGTAGCCTAATAGTTTGATATACCGCCTCCCAAGCAGAGGTCGTGGGTCCGGCCTCGCACCTCTTAGTTTCTCGGAATTTATGTGCGAAATTTTATTTTAAATTTACTATGAGCTTTTCGGTGAGGGAAATACATCGTGGTGAAACCTGTACATCGAAGAAGGTTCACAACCCTCAGAAAACGTGTGAAGTCCCCAACCCGCATTAAGCCAGTGTGGCAGACTATGGCCTAAACCCTCGCCTGAAGGGAAACCCGTGCCTAGAAATGGGACGTATAAACGGGTTGCTAACATACTGTGGTACCTGTAATTAGTAATAGTAATCACAGGTCTCTACAATCTTGTTTGACTTAGACCAGTATTGTATTCCTTAGTTAACGTCGTCTTTCATCAGATTTATTTCCGCACAACACTCACGCCATTACAATAGCGTGAATCTCAACTTGAAATATCAGTTGTTGTAGCAGCTTTTGAGTCGCGCATCGTGTACACTACAGCCTACGTTGGGGTCCCGTTTCTTACCCATAGCATAGAAAGAGAATCGTCCTTCCGAGAGCAACTGTCCTGATTCCAGACTACTCTGGTCAGCAGTTCTACAAAGTATCTACAGGTTTGATTATTTCTTCTTGAGAAGCATGACATCGGACATCATGCCCAGAACAGAATGTTCCAGAATTGTGTTATGAAATGGTTTTAATGTCTGGCAGACATTTTATCGTTATTTGAACCTTACTATTGTACCTACGTCTTAGTCTCCTTCTGTATAAATGCATAGCATTCCAGGTCACCACAGGCTAGGCTTTAGTAACATTAATAACAGGAATAAAAATAAACTAGCTGTTCTTGACAGCCTTGTTCATAAAATCTAAAAGTCATTAAAGGTCAATGTATCTGTACGCCTATATAATAACATTCCGATTGATATTCAAAATTTGCCATTTACGAGGTTTAAAACTATAGTGAAACAAAAACTTTTCACTAAAGGTTATTATTATACAGCTTCTACGTACTGAGATGACAAAAATCCGTGGTAGTGACCCGTTTAGCTCTTTCAGGTAAACTCGATCTAAGAGGTTTAAATTTAATATTGTAATAAATGTATATTTACAAAGAGCAACCCCTAGAGTTTCTTGCTCGTTCTTCTCGGGAGAATCTATCTTACGAATGAGAAGTAGAGTTTAACCAGTATGACGATTTCAAGTGTAATTTACTTACCTACGAAATAAAGACTGTTTTCATTTCTCATGCTCTTAGTTCGTATTTATGCTGGGTGTAGGCTGCATAAAATAGGATTTTATGCTCTAGTGCATAAAATAGGATTTTATGTTCTAGTGCATAAAATAGAAAAACCATTACATTAACTACCTATGTGTAATTGTTGTAATTTTACATTCTATTTTAATTAAATAATCGTTTATTTGTAATATTGCTGTTTAATTTCCTCGCAATCGAAGTGAAAAACAGAGTGTATAACTCGTTCATAAAACCCATTTTACCCTCGACTTAAGTATATGTATACTTGTCTCGGGTACAATGACGCGCTTTATGCACATGTAGTACAATCTACTATTAACTTTGATTAGCAGTAGAGCTCCTTGTGAGAGATCGTCCAGGGAAGTACTGCCACCAAGTGGTAATGTGAGCATTACAGCGTTCCGGTTCGAAAGGTTAAGGGTGCTGGTGAAATTACAGGCATATACGTCTTGTCAACATATGTCTCAGAGTGACGGGCGCAGGCAGTGTCCATAATATCCTTGCGATTTAAAGCTCTGAGTGGCACTGCAACTGGTTATGGCGAACTACTTACGGATAGGCGTGTCACTTACCACCAGGCGCACGACATGTTCGTGCAGTCACTTGGTATTATAAAAAAAGAATATCTAACTTGGCCGTAATAACTACCTATTTTGTTTATTTTCACACCAGACAACAGAGGCACATTTTATGGTCGGCTTCGCGATGGTTTTGTATAGGTAGTCAACCTGAACTTAAAGATTAAAGAACAGAATATAGAAATAAAAACGAAAACTGTATTAAACTGTAAAAGTATTATATTTGGTTTCATGTCATATATGTAATAAAAACACTGCGATGGACGGATCATACATAATTCAGTCTTATCTTATTAATGTAAAAGCATTACGGGAAATCACTAAAATATACATTAAAATTGTTCACAATATACTATTTACAAATAACCCTAAATAAAAATTGCTGCTTATGACATTAAGTATTAATGTCTGAAAAGATGGCCCTTTTATTTTTGGCATCATCCAACGCCAAACTAATTACGGTCATACCTATCACCTACGCTATTTTATAAGAGAATTACAATAAAAATATGTAGTACATTAGTAAAATTGTGAATAAATTCAGGATAAAAAGAATGTAAACTAAAAAATAATAAACAAATGAAAACAAGTCCATGGAATAAAATTTTTCATACTTTGAATTTTATGATAATACAACTGTATTATTCAATGTCAGTTTAAAAAAATTCCTTAATTTATATAGAGAAAGAGAAATATTTTTTACATGTTACACAACATGAATTTTTTGCTTAAAATAAACAAAGCATTGTTGGAAACGTCTCCTACTTTAGTATTGAGACATCTTATCTCAGTATTGTATAAGTATTGTATGTAGACTACTTAAGAAAACAACTTACTTATACTTTAAAAAAAGAATTTGTACAATTTGAGATTTTTAAGGCAGTCATTACAAGGCACTTAAATTTAAACACTTAGACAATTTTAACCAGTAACCCCGATATGCAAAATAAAGCTGTTAGTAATAAAGGCATAGGTGTAATCAGATGTGATGAATTGCAACCATCCTTGCTATTGCACGTGCAGTATTCAATGAAAATGTTGTATGTTCCTGTCCTCATAAGACAAAACCGTTCATCACCTTGGATACCAACCTCACCAAGATAAGCACAATCTCTAAAATAACGCCATTCTCCATTTACTGTAAAACAAAAGAAATTCCAAGTTCATATTCATAATGCATATTATTGAATATGAATAATATAATAAATAATAGAAAAAATCAAATTAAAATAATGACATGAGCTCAGCTACTATATTTGCAGAAATAATAGATACCATAACCATAGTAGACTAAGAACAAGTACGGTAACTCCGTACACACGTCACAGCGCGGCTTGCATGTGTGCGCACCCGCCACGAACCGATTTCGGACGCACATACTATCTATGGAGTTTGTACAGAGTTACCCTACTTGTTTTATTCCACTATACCATAACTGTCTTATTTAGAATAGATTATCTATGTATGTCTAATTAAAAAAAAAAATTCAAAAAGTTTATTTCAGACATAGTCCATACCTATTAGTGTTAGTTACAAAAAAAATTCTTACAACCTATGTTAGTACTAAATTTGCGAATAAAAAATATTACATAATAATAAATAAAAATATTACAATAACTTATAAATTAAACCCCTGGAACCCATGTGGACTGAGTTCCAGTGCTTCCACAATTCACTAACAGGGTTCTCCCAGATCAAACGAACTAGGCTATTGGAACTGCCACTCACGCGACGCATCAGGGAGGCAGTTCTTTTCCGAATAATCGCGCTGAAGCTATCAATTCGCGCGTCCGCGAACATACCTGATGCTTGTATTGGACACGCAGGGCATTGACCGTCGCTTTAGTGTAATTTGTCCACAGGCTGCACGTATAGAAGGTCTGACAAAGCGCCCTGAAAAGGGTGGCTTTGACATTACCCTCACAACGCGCAAACCTGCGTGACAACATATTACAACGTACGGCCAACGCTCTGCGCTCCCTCTCCATATCTACATCATCCTGCAGATTTTCTGTGACCCAGTGCCCTAGGTATTTAAACCTTGCTACTCTCTTGAGAGGCGCACCACACAAATAAATAGGAGGAATTGAAGCAAGGGCTTTGTTACCGGCTTTAAACACTAAAAGCTCGCTTTTATTTGTGTTATATGTTAGACCGTGAGTCATCGCATACTCCTCACAAATACTTAATAGTTTTACTAGCGTACTGATCGACGGGCACAGCAGCACCATATCATCTGCATAACTAACATTATTGACAGTGATACCACCGATCGAGCATCCAATTCCCGTGCTGCTGAGCCTGGCGATCAGCTCATCTATATACAAGTTAAACAACCTGGGTGAGCTGAGACCTCCTTGTCTCACTCCACACTCTAACCTATACACATCCGAGAGAGCACCTACCCACCTCACCTGGTTGGTTTGATTAGCGTACCAGAAGCGGAGCAGGTCGATAACCTCACTTGGGGTATTTGTGCGTTTTTCCAATTTGTCCCAAAGTATACTATATGAGACTGTATCAAAAGCCCTGGATAGATCCAAAAAGCATGCAAACACTGGCGTTTGCCCCCTGGTGTAGTACTGGACGGTATGTTTAAAGCATAAAATGGCACTTTCCGTAGACAGATTGGGTTTAAAACCAAATTGGGCGTCCTGGGTCTTTACATACTTTGATAACACACCATCCACAGCAGTCCATCCAGCACTTTAGCCGCTACTGTTGCCAGTGATATCGGCCTATAATTGGATCCATTGGAGGCAACTCCTGTCCTATTTTTCGCTATGGGCATAACAACTAATGCACACACAAATACATTAGGCAATTGAAGTAAACATTTAACAAAACCCAGTTTATATTAATTGCTCCACTTTTGTCAGATCCATATCGCTTGATAACTTCCAAAATACATGAATAAACATTCACGAACCTGATACTACAGGCATGGGGAAATAGCGGCTTACAAGCCGAATCTGTGATTGCTCAGTCATCCCTATAAATACGGCCCCCATAACCGCTGCTTGTATAACTTAAGAAACATGTTATAATTTTGAGACTTTACTAGTAAATTTGAAAACTAATATATTTTAAAAAACTTTATGGTCAACTACACATCAAGCTGTACACTTTTGTTCAGTGCAATGGAACAAGAAGTTTGATGTGCTGCCGTCTGTACAAGGTTCTAATTCCCTGGTTCCAAACTAGGGAATTTCCTTTACTCTGAGTACTAGAACATCAGAATTCTTGGGGACTTCTCATAACACCTTGATCAGAACTAATTTCGATAAATTGTTTTCCCAAACTGTTACTCGGGTATGGAACATGGGACCTCCATATACTGCGCCCACAATGTAAGTCATGAGGCCACAGAGGTGTTCAATTTAAATATTTTATTTTAAAATATTTCTAATATTGTATTTAAAAATATTTATATTTAAATAAAAAAATTTATTTCAATAAGTGCATTAAACATAGCAAATAACGACGCTATTAAAAATACTCTGCAGCAATAGCACCGGCCCCTGACTATTAACTCAAATAGTTATTTGGATGAAAATTCAGCTCATGTAATTATGAAATACATCCAAGGTTTATTATGTAACTGCCTCCATGGTCGAATAGGTACCATGACAGACTGCCACGCAGAGGTCACAGGTTCGATTCCCGGGCCATAAGAACTATTTGTATGGCCTACATTTATTTCTCTCATCAGTTTGGGTGTAATTTGTGGTTGTCTATGTGTGTGCCAAGCCACCTGCGCCTCAGGGTTTCCCTAGTGCGGAGCTATGTTGAGTGTGTGCATTATTTTTTTTTTAAACATTTTCCAATGTCTGTATCAATCTGGAGGCCGAAATAACGAAAACGTACATTATTTATTCTGTGGAAAAAAAGGGTTAACGAACCTTTCTGTCTAATTTTTCGGCACATGCTAGGTTTGACTCCCGGCAGGTGAACAAAGCCCTTTTCTTTCTTGCAATCAGTAATAGGCATAGTACTGTTATCAAAAGGGTCTGCGCACTTCGGATCAGTATTCGATCTGCAATTCCAACACTTAATGCCGAGCGCTGAAAAAATCAAATTAACCAAATAACAACAGAGTTGGGTGGGGCATGTCCGCGATACAAGTTTTCAATAGTTTTCTTACCGTAACGCGCGACGACGAGAACAATGAGTGAACAAAGCACTATTTTGTGACAGTACAACATTATTGCAAGCGTCGATATATTCTTATTCAGTAAATTTAAATAAAATTACAAAAAGGACTCGTTATTACCGAAACTAGCAAACGATCAAACGAAAACGATTCAGACATGTTTTTTGGAATCTATTAATGCGCGAAACGAGAATTCAGAAACCTGTCTGGCATTTCTATCAGAGAACACTATTGATATTTCTATACAGCCCATGACAGTCATCCATATACCTTTTAGAGGACATTATTTTATGAACCCATTTCAAATAAATATTAGCAATACCATTGTAAATATCTAATAGCTTTAACACGAAAAGAAACAGCTAAAATTTTAACCCTGTACCTACTAAAAACAGAATGATAATAAATAGATTGATTTGAGAAAAATATAAGTAATTCTGAGTTAAAGTAATGTTTTCTTTGGAGAAATTAAGTTACAATTGTTCGAATAACGACTAGGATACAAATTGTCAATAAATTTTCAAAGAAGTACATAAAAATCATATAAACTCCTAAAATATTGATTTTCGCGAAACTAATGTCTATTTTAAATGAGTTGTCACAAACTCCTTTATCAAAACATTTTGGATCATTGTGAAAAGGCCACCTATATTTCTGCTGATACGGTTTTATGACAAAAAAGTCTAGAAATTAATCGAGCCAAAGAAGCAATCCAGCGTCCATTCTGTCAAGATAACTGCCACGGCACGGATATGCTTTTAAGATGGAAGAAAAATATAGGAAGGTTTAAATAAATAAAGTTTCCATAGTCTAAGCCAAGAAGCTTATGGGTCGTATTCCAGAACTCTACTCAAGTCCTTGCCATTAGGGTCGTATTTCCAGTGCTTGAAATCATACTCAAGTCCTGACTTGAGCATTGCGTAGAGTTCTGGAATACGACCCTACGTCTA